TTTACTTCAGCATCTTCATCATCATCTTCAGATGAGGAGCTAAACTGGTCTTCAACTAACTTTTTTGCTGCAGCCTGATTAGCCTTCTTAATTTCATCAAATTTCTTCTGAGAAGATAATTCTATTAAGAGAACAGATTAATGATTATTAATAGCATGACAGTTAATCAAGACAACACATTCAGTTCTGTGTACTTTCAACCGTCCTTTTCTGTAAAAAACCTTGTATATTTTGTTTTTAAGGGCAGTACACTGCTACATATTGAATACCACAGAAGAATAAATACATCATGCTTTCTTCTTCACTGTGATTATCCATAAAATTTAGGGCAGGAACCTGTCAATTACTGCTGACAAATCCAACCAAACATACTCAAACATATGCATCTATAATGCTGTGTTATGAAAAGGCTGCTTAGAAAAAAAAACAAAACAAAACAAACCCCACCTAAACAAACATCCTGCACAAAGACAACTTTCCTAGCACGAGGAAGAAAAAAAATAATCAAGTCAAGAGCCTTGACAAGAGCCACTGCTATAATTTTCTGATATCCTACAGGTACCTCTCCCAGTATTTAGTACTTTTAAAATTATTATTTTTATTGATCTCCATCCATCAAGTCATTATTGTAATAGTATGTTCATGCTATTTCACACCTGGCAACATTGAAAGTGACAGAGTATCAATCAATACAGGCCATTTTTTAAGCTATTTTATATGAAGCAGAGGAAGGTTCTCATATGGAGATATATATATATCTTAACATAATTCATAATATGCCAAAGTGCCTTTAAGATAACTTATCATGGAGATACAAAGGTCTTCAGCAGATCACAGGTCCTAAGTAACACCTACTTTTCCAAATTTCAGTATATTTACTGGGGTTCCACTACGTTTAGTTTTAGTGTTTCCCTTCAAAAACTATTTCGCCACTTTAAAAAGAGCGGTATTTGGTGCTTCTCTACCCGCTAAGTGTTACGTGGCTATTAACTGGCACCCGCAGCCACCTGGGGCCAGGCAAGGCCGGCAGCTTTCCGGGCCGGAGCGATGGGGCACACGCCGAGCGGCCTGTCCCGAGCGTTCCCGGCCCTGCCGGGCACAGCTGCTCCATCCTTCCCTTCACGCTCTCCCGCTCGAAGGGCACTGCCCGTGCACGGCGAGGAGGCAGAGCCCTCGACCCACAGCTACGGCCCGAGGCTGCCGCCTCGCACCCCGCAGGAACCCGCAGCCCAGCACGGTCCGGCCACGCCGGGCAGCGCGGAGCGG